CTTATTGAAGTGCCACCTAAATGGATTATTCAATCTGGGATGCAAAATCGCAGTATACGTTTGCTAAAAATGATCGAGGCTGTATCAAAAACATTCTACTCACCTTTGTTTTGTAAACAGAAAGATCACGTAATCAATTTAAGTTACCATGGTAATCACGTAACTGATTTTAGATTTCTGGTGGATGTGGTTTATGCATTTCGGCAAGAAATATATTAATTTTATGTTTTATTATATGTTGATTCAAATCTGTAGTAGTGCACCTGCCGAGATACAGCGAAATATGCCTGGCAATAAATTGTGCAATGTATTGCTTGTGTCCACGTTATTTATATTAAATTACGTAAATTGAATGCTTGTTTTATGTATAATTTTCAAATCCCGTTTGAACGAAAATAGACTTGTGAAAGTGACCGATCTTCTTCCGAGACTTCGGGTGTATTAGGCTTATAGGGCTAGATCTATGTTTTATAGACCGATCGGCACTATGTGTGAGATATGGTCAACATCACACCGGCCGCCTTTACTTCCCATAACTGTACCTGGTACCTATTTAAGTCTGGGTCGACCTGGAAGCCAAGGTCATTCTTGAAGACAGTCCGGTTTGGCTAAGACTTGAACCCACGACCTTTTGATCCGCAGGCGAGCGTCTAGCTGCTCTACCACGGCGGCTGGCAAAAAAAAAGTGTTTAGAAATCTACATTCGACTGACCGCCAGTTCGAATTGCGACCTGATGGTTAGAACGGGACTGAGTCGCAAGTCGAGGCGACCATGTAGAACAGTGGCTCCCAGCCTTCCTAACGCCGCGACCCTTTATTGCAGTTCCCTCATGTTGTGGCGACCCTTTAATACAGTTCCCTCATGTTGTGGAGACCCTTTAATACAGTTCCCTCATGTTGTGGCGACCCTTTAATACAGTTCCCTCAAGTTGTGGCGACCCTTTAATACAGTTCCCTCATGTTGTGGCGACCCTTTAATACAGTTCCCTCATGTTGTGGCGACCCTTTAATACAGTTCCCTCATGTTGTGGCGACCCTTTAATACAGTTCCCTCATGTTGTGGCGACCCTTTAATACAGTTCCCTCATGTTGTGGCGACCCTTTAATACAGTTCCCTCATGTTGTGGCGACCCTTTAATACAGTTCCCTCATGTTGTGGCTGCCCTTTAATGCAGTTCCCTCATGTTGTGGCGATCCTTTAATGCAGTTCCCTCATGTTGTGGCGACCCTCTAATGCAGTTCCCTCATGTTGTGGCGACCCTTTAATATAGTTCCTCATGTTGTGGCGACCCTTTAATGCAGTTTCCTCATGTTGTGGTGACCCTTTAATGCAGTTCCCTCATGTTGTGGCGACCTCTAATACAGTTCCCTCATGTTGTGGTGACCCCCAAACAATTATTTTCCTTTATAACTTTAATGAATATGTGTTTTCCGATGGTCTTAGGCGACCCCTTTGAAAGGCATGTTTGACCCAAGAAAAAAAGTCGTGACCGCCAGGTTGAGAACCTTTGCTGTCGTTCAATATTTTCACAAGGTTACTCTGTCATGCTGCGACTGTGGCTAAGACGTTGCCAGTTCCACTCGCAATTCCATCTTACCGCGATTGAAACCCACTGCGGGCTGCGTGGATTTTTATCGTGGTGTGGGGCGTCACAGGTCGACCCAGCATTAAATAGGTCAAAGGATGGCTGTCCTGGGGAAGTAAAAAGACCGGCGTAATGCTGACCACATTACCCACCCAGTGCCTATTGGTCTGTAAAAATAGGGGACGCTCTTCCCATATACCCGATGCGCCTAAGGCGTAAAAGGGATCTTTACTTACCTACTCTGTCATATCACTCTCTCCAGGATTTACAATCAAACGGTTCTCCGCGACACGAAACCATTCTTTAAAATTTTAAAGAAACAGAAACGTATCAGGCCATGACGATCTGTTTCTGACGCTGCTTTTGTGAAATGAAATATGTACTTTTGATGCGAACTGTTGACAATGTGAAACCTGTTTATATATGCCTGAAAATGTAAATGAAACATGACAGTGTCTACGATATAGCCATGGTCTTGATTTCACTATTTTGTTTGGTTTTTGGATGACAACACTCCTCTACCAAAGGGGTGATGACATCCTTCGCTGAATCTGTTTCAGGAAAAGGATCAGTGATGTGTTTGTGGAGGCAAGTACCGTGGCTGTGCTCAGCCGGCAAGTTTGATCGCCATAATATTCGCAGCAGACGTCAGGATTGTTTATTTTTCTAGCGCGATGTTTAGATCTATCTCAGTGATGGAAGACTGTCATAAGGCTTTCAGAAATACAATGTCACGCCCGATGAGGAAAGGTGACCTGATCTGCTTCTATGAGTTCATTTACCAAAAAAAACTTAAGAAGATAAATCTGCGAGACAGTTTCGAAGAAACAGACACTGCTTTAAAAAAAATCGTACCCGTTATCTTCTACTCCTCATCCGCATCGTCCACCTCTTCTTTTACATCTTCTTCCACTACTATTGTTGCTGCTGCTGCTACTGCTAGTACTACCACTATTGCGCCTTACTCCCACTCTTCCTTTTCCTTTTGCTTCCTGTTCTACTTCTTTAGGGTAAGTGATTTTTTGCACGAATCTGTCGAAGATTACACAATGAAGCGGAAGCTCAACAACAGCAATAACACCAACAACAAACAGACCAGAGACATAGAGATAGCGAGAGGGGAAAGAGAGACAGAGACAGAGATAGATATCGAGAGGGAGGAGAAAGAGAGTTAGCGAGAGAGTGGAGGAGAGAGAGAAAGAGAGAGAGAGAGAGAGAGAGAGAGAGAGAGAGAGAGAGAGAGAGAGAGAGAGAGAGAGAGAGAGACTTTTAGACCTGTCTTTATCAGCTCGACATTTGTCAGCAGGCAGTCTCAAGTGAGATGCTTGTTGTCCAGTTTGGCCCTTACGTGAGACTGCTAAAAGACACAGTCACTACCCTAGGATAAGTTGGCTGGGTTAAGACGATATTTACGAGCCTGTCAACAGTTACCGACGTGGAGTTACTAGACTATTGACACAAGAAAACACGTCAAGTAACTAGACCGCCCAAGATGTCACAAGACTGGAACCTCAAAGAAAGAAAAACCTGTTAATCGTTCTCTGTAACGCAGGAGGGCAGGACGTTTCTGTTGAATATTCTAATAATCACAAACAAACACACGCACAGGAAACTGGGAGTTTATGCACATTGAGCTATTCCCCCCCCCCCTCTCTCTCTCTCTCACTCACTCCCCTCCCCCCCCTCTCTCTCTCACTCCCCCCTCCCATTTGAGCATCAACATGGGAGGCTGCTGCACAAGACCGTTGTGGGTAAGGTACATCCCTCAGGCTTGGTCCATCAGCCTACCAGGCAGCTGAGGTTACACAGAGACACGGAGGCAGGCTAGAAACATCATCAAATGTCGCCTGCATTTTGACGGTCGTATGTTGTGAGTCTCTAACCTTCTCCTGTCTAAATGATCAATGTACACTTATACAAGCTTTTTCTAGATTTTAGACCCCTGGTCTCCAACCTGTAGTAGGGTAGGTGGTGAGAAAGTTTCAGGGGGCGATGTCAAGCAGTTTTGGAACTGAGTGCATTTGTGCTTGTATTAATCCGGATTTTCAGCATAAACAGTTATGAAAACAAAACAGCGTTGCTACCTTGATATGGAGAGTGATTTCCGTTGTGCCTTGTCCAACACCAGAGCAAAAACAGCAGATATATTCAAGACAAAATCATGTCCACCACCACATTTATATTTAGACACTAAATTACCAGTTGTTGATGATTGTTTCTTTTGTTTTTTGACACTTTGAATTATAGATATGTCTTTCTCCAAGTCTTCTTCTTGTGATTATTCTTTTTGCCTCCTCTGTTATATCAAATTGTGTTATGAGGGTGGGGGGGGGGTGGGTGGAGAGGGAGGAGGAGGAATTGAGCAGGGGGAGAGGCGGGGCGGCACCACTTGAAAAAGTTTGGAGACCATTGTTCTAGACAATTGGGGGGGGGGCGGGGCGGCATCACTTGAAAAAGTTTAGAAAGACCACTGTTCTAGACAATAGGGGGGGAGGAGGAGGGCGGCGGCACCACTTAAAAAAGTTTAGAGACCACTGTTCTAGACAATGGGAGTGGGGAAGGGGGGAGGGCACCACTTGAACAAGTTTGGAGACCACTGTTCTGGACAATGGGTGGGGGGGGGGGCGGCATCACTTGAAAAAGTTTGGAGACCAGTGTTCTAGACAATGGGGGGGGGGGGGCACTTGAACAAGTTTGCAGACCATTGTTCTAGACAATGGGGGAAGGGGCACCACTAGAAAAAGTTTGGAGACCACTGTTCTAGACAATTGGGGGGGGGGGCCGCACCACTTGAACAAGTTTGGAGACCACTGTTCTAGATAATATGGGGGGCGGCACCACTTGAACAAGTTTGGAGACCACTGTTCTAGACAATGGAGGGGGGGGGGGGGGGGTGAGGGCGGCAACACTTAAACAAGTTTGGAGACCACTGTTCTAGATAATGGGGGAGGGGGCACCACTTGAACAAGTTTGGAGACCACTGTTCTAGATAATGGGGGAGGGGGCACCACTTAAACAAGTTTGGATACCACAGTTCTAGACAATCTGTTACTGCTTTTCTCCCTCCAGTAATATTGTCTCCCCCTTGAAGGTTTGTCCCTGACCTTCACCCTGATTACTTCCGGAAACAAGGAGTTGTGTCCCCGCTGAAATCAGCTGTAATGCCACACAAGATCCTGCCATCGGATCTTCTTCTTCTCTTCCACCTTGTACCTCATCGAAGTGTCGGGGGGAGATGTAACATTCGTTGATGAGCTCTGTCAAGAGCACTATTAAGACTGATGCTTATTTCTGTAAGGCTGTTCTTAATGCCATAACTCCATATTTTCCGAGGTCTTCCACTCGCTCTATATCCGTTGTAACGTTTTAGTGTGGCTCGCTGTGGCAGATAGTACCAGGGCATTCTTGTTAGGTGTCCAAACCACTTCATTTGTTGTTCTTTGATGACCTGTAAGACTGGCTTTATTCCTAGCATTCGTCTGATTTCATGATTTTGTATTCTGTCTGTCTTTGAAACTCCTGCAGCTCTTCTAGGGCATTTCATCTCTGTTGTCACAATTTTACGTTCATTGGAGGATGTAAGTGTCCACGTTTGGCATTGATAGCATAGTGTTGGCCAAAAAATAGCTCTGATAAGATTCAATTTAGTACTCCGAGGTATCTGCTTGTGTGTCAACAGGGGAGATAGTTGCCCCATTACTTGATTAACTTTGGCACATCTGGAGCTAATTTCTCTGCCCAGTTTTCCGTCGGATGTGAAAATTGTTCCCAAATACTTAAATTCTTCTGTTTATTTCAGGGTGTTGTTTTTTAATTCTATTTCTCAATCGTCTTTATGTTTTCCTATCATCATTGTCTCTGTCTTCCTATCATCATTGTCTTTGTCTTCCTATCATCATTGTCTCTGTCTCCCTATCATCATTGTCTCTGTCTTCCTATCATCATTGTCTCTGTCTTCCTATCATCATTGTCTCTGTCTTCGTAGTGTACTACCGGATAAACTGTCAAATCCAACACGTCCGCAGATATCAACATCGTCATGTGCCGTGCCGGTAAGCGTAGGCTGTCATGTTTCGCCGTCTCACACGATCACCAGAATCACGGGTCAGGTCAATGTTTTCGGCTCGCCTCTATCCATATGGCCAGGCCTTCCAGGTATTTATCTCTTCGCCTTCCTTTTGCGCTCTTTCCATCAATCTCGCAAGCTGTTACCAAGTTCTCGAGTCGATTCCGTCTGACATGTCCTTCCTGTGTGGATTTTATCATGGTATGGAACGTCGAAGGTCGACCCAACCTAAAATGGGTACCAGGACGGCTGTCCTGGGGAAGTAAAGACGGCCGGCATAATACTGACCACATTACCCACCGAGTTCTCTTCCCATATGCCCTTTGCCCCTAAAGGCGTGAAGAGGAATCTTTACATTTTTTTTTACCTGTGTGAGTTCCCGGATCCCATTGTGGGGAAAACAAGAACAGACCCACTGCCTCCCCAGTAAGCATGTCGTAAGAGTCGACAAAGTGGGGATATCCTTCGAAATGGCAGTGGAAGGTAATGAACCAGAACTCTGCAAAGAACTAATTCAAATCTGTAAAACGGATGTGCACACTAAGAGTCGATTAACTGGGGATATACTTCGAAGTGGGAGTGCATCCGCATGAAAGGCAATAAACCAGAAGTCTGCAGAAACAAAATTTCAAATCTGTAAAACGAATGTGCACACAACACACAGGTTCTTTAACAAGACTAAAGTCCAGAGGGAGGTGAACAACTAGAACTTTCCGGTGGAGTTTACAGCCAGTGAAGAAGAAAATGGGTCCAAAATATATTGACTATCCTCGTCTAATTGTTCTAATCAGTTTACCTCATCTGTCTCCACGAGGACTGCTTTGCCTTCTGCTCAGAAACCACATATTTGCCCCAAAAATAGTTCTCTCTGCTTGAAACACACGCATACACACACTCATATATATATATATATATATATATATATATATATATATATATATATATATATATATATATATATATATATATATATATATATATATATATATATATATATATATATGCCCGGGTCTCTAGCGTAGTTGGCTAAACCAGATTGCGCGGTGGCCGGGTGACGAACTCCTTGTGGTCCCGGCTCACTCCTGGGGGTAGGCAGAAAAGCCACATTTCTCCCAGATTTACGGTATTTACAATGGAATCAAGGCCGAAAGGTTGCGATATCCATAATACCGAGCCTAAGGGTTAACAACTCATTGCTTCTGGATACTAAAACAAACAGACAATATATATATATATATATATATATATATATATATATATACACACACACACACACACACACAGATACACACACACAAATAATAATTCCTTGTCTGACGAGTTCATTACTGTATTTTTTTATGGGGTGGGGGGGGGGGCATTCTGCAACGACATTACAACTCACAAATGTAGATTTTGTTGTTGCTACTATTGCTGATAATGATGTTGGGGAGACTTGAACACAAACGAAGTTTCTACCCAAATCTTTATCAAGCAACAAAACAAGAAAATCAAAAACAGATTATCGTTAAAATGATATGAATATCAAAGAACAAAACAATCCAATACAAATTATGTTTCATTATTCTGAGAAATCTTTTTTTTTTTAAACAGAGCTTAATGGAGCCGAGCTTCCCAAACTGTGTATAGTGAAAATTAAGTGTGCCAACTGCAATGTGAAGGTTTGTGGCGCGAATGTAAAAGCTACCTCTCATCTCATCCCATCTTGATCCTCTGGTACCTTGTGGTGTCGAGGAGCAGTAGGCGAATGTACGCGAAAGCGCCCATAAAGCTACGTGTGTGTCCCTATTTCTGATAGGGTGTTGGTTTATTTTCTAATTTGTTAGTAGATTTAATTACTGTGTCCGGAAATTATGTTTGTTTACAGAATTTGCTGCCAACATGAACAGGTCGGAAAGTTCTGCTGTAAAAGAATTTTTAAAAATCAAAGATATGAAACAATTCAACAATGTTCATTCTAAACATCAATGAAAATTCAGCCAGTCTTCAGACTCCTCGGTTGTTAAGGCTGGTCTGCAGCTTGACCAGGTCAGAGTAGACGTTTCGGTGAAGGATCTTGGAGACACACAGGACAGCAGACAGGACAGAGGGGACAAATCCGCATGTTAGCGTGTCTTGTCCTGTCCAGGAATATGTAAGAGATGTATGCATGTGAGTTATTATACATGAAGAGTTTTCCCCTGGCTTCAAGATAAATACCGCCAAGATGTGTTACAATTAGCGTCGAAAGAATCTACTTCTTTGCTCCTGATTATCCTAGGTTGTCACTCTCACCAGAACAGCAAGAATCACGACGAGAGCGTTGCACAAAGGACGAACTCCATAGCACCAGCGATGATCTACAGGCATCTTCATAGAATATGCGCTCGTGAATTGAACTAGACATGCGGGTAGCAAACCCACTGCGTTCAGAGGCAAACTGCTTGACCACAGAGTGCCCGTTAGTGATTAGTACAATCGGCTTTTAGGAAGCCACCGTACTGTAGAGGCTAGAAGCTCACCTACGGGTCCAAAGGTCATGGGTTCAAACCCGAACGGAGCCAGGCTTTTCCACAAAGGACCCGGACTGCCTTGTCGACCCAGTCTTAAATGGGCACCAGGTGAAGTACCACATTTTCAATACATTCGAAGGATACGGTTCTCGTTAAAAGACCCTCACAACAACAAGTCATCGTCGTCATGAAGCAGGCCATTTGCACAACGTCGCTCTCAACACGGTCTGCTTGGGAGGGGTGGGGGGATACTTGCCAGCTCGCCAGCCTCGTGCACTTTCCTACTCAATGTGTCGCTTCGGTTCTTTATTAATATCCTACTCCTGATGACGCCCCAGGGCAGTCCAACATTTTAGAAGGTGGTAAGACGAAAAATTGCATCCCACAAAGGGACGACAATATACATCTCAGTCAACGACAACAGATCTGCTACAAAAGTGACTACATCTGAATAGAGCCTAGTATGTCAAAATTATCAAATTAACTTCATTAACCTTAATCCACAATGATAACCACCATTATCACCAACAGCACTATTACCACTTCCATCATCCTCATTCTGCTGTGTCATTAAACGTCGTGCAGGGCTCACTGCCTGGTTCTGTATCCCGTTCTCTAAGCCAAAATAGTTAAACACAACGCCTTCTCTAATAATTTGTTTATACATCTCCTTGATAAAAACTGTGGACACAGATGGACTCTATTCTTGCACAAGAACGGGAATCCCCGTTGACCTGTTTGGCCTATAAATAGAGTAGGCTGTGTTTGAACAATACTGGTAAAATAGCTATAGCTACGGGAGCATCCATGGCTAGCTAGCTCAGTTGGTTAACTGACTGCGCGCCGACCGGGTGACGAACTCCTTGTGGTCCGGGTTCACGCCCGGGGGTAGGCAGAAAAGCCCCATTTCTTAGTCACCGTGGCGTTGGCAGCTAGATACTCGCCTGCGGATCGAAAGGTCGTGGGTTCGCGTCTTGGCGGAGCCTGACTTTTTTTTTAAATGATCTTGGTTCCCAGGTTTACCCAGCCTTGAGTGAGTACGAGGTTCAGTCCTGGCAAGTAAAGGCGACCGGCCTGATGCTGACCACATCACCCACCAAGTGCCTATTGGTCTAAAAAAAAAGTTATGTAGATCTAGCCATATATTCCCATTACTTCTCCTTTTTTTATTTTTTACGGTAACATTCGTACTGGAAAAGGGAGACAATCTGACGACCCTTTATAAGCAAATGCTGATAGAACATAGGAAGTTGCGGTTCTATACTTACCTTACGTCCTTTTTAGGACGTAATTTTTTTTTTTTATTTGAAGCCCCACTCTGGCTTTTGCCAGGGGCCGCAATAAAGGCAGGCCATAAATATGGCCAATTGTCTGAACACGGTTTCTGGGGCCTCTCCACGGTGATCCTCATCCACATGGTGGCACTTTGTGTCATCGGGTGTTTATCGCTTGTGTGATGTCCTAGTGGGGTAGAAAGTCAGTCAGTCAGTCAAGATAGGAAGTTAGATGGAAAAAAAAACATGAGTAAGAATATGTGAAGGAGGAATTCAGTGTGGATCGTGCAACGATTGATGGATGAGAGGAAGAGAATGACGTGTGTATAATTAGTGTGCTAGGGCAACAGTTAGAATCCACAACGTAAGACATTTGCTACGAGAGATGTGGCATCTGTGGGCATACCCGATGTGCTCTGATGACGATTCTGAAATCAGTAAAATAAGTTAAAATGCCCACCTGTGAGGTAGAGACCTTTAATGTCCGTGTCTGCCCGAAGTTTACAGGCTACATCAGGTGAAAAACGGGCCATTCTCTGGCCCAGACCGTACATCTCACCGTAGGGACACGCCAGGTAGTGGCGGTTGGTCACCGGTGTCCCTACCTCCATGTGAACCATCTGAAAACAATAATAAAGTAAACAATAATAAATGAGCTTAGCTGGTATTAACAATGAGAATCGTCAAATGTTATGTACACTCAACCCTGCTGTATGGGTCATCATCTTGAACAAAGAAGTGGCAATTAAATAATTGAACTAAGTCCCTAAACATATGCATGTACAGAAGAAAGGGTGGTACTTCATGGCAACAAAAACAATCAAATAACAACGGTTCTGGAAAGACTGTGAATGAAAAGAGAGTTACTGAAAAACATTGTTTTAAAGAGGCGATTAAAAGAGTGTGGTCACATGAAAAGACGTAATACTTTTTAAAACCATACTGGGTGGGGGTGGGGGGGGGGGGTCAAAGATGAGAGAGAGCATGGGGCAGATACAATTGGGAGAGCACCATCAAGACATGGAGATACAGCAGTTTCAGAGAATGTACGGAACGCGAAAGAGAGCATATCGAGTGCTCTTAGGTCGATTCTTCACTTATCTCACTTCATCTCAACCCAACCCAGTAATTTGAACTTAAATTGTGTGATTAATGCGTGGGTTTGAGTGTACTCAGAGGGTCTGACCGCCTCACTACACTCAGAGAAAAGGCAAGACGGACACATAACCAGATTGTGACCTGTACCATCAGTATTGGAACTATTCGCTGGCTGCTGAAAATGAGGACTGAGCATGCATGGAACTGCCCTGAGTGCTGTGATATCAATTCCTGACTTAAATCAACTCAACTCAACTCAGCATGGGCTTTTTAAATTAGAAATGTGTTTTATTTAATTGTGGATTCGATGACTATGTTCACTTGTTATGCACATATTCTGTACAGCTTGCAGGACTTGAGCTAACACCAGCCACCTTTTGTTGGCTTCTGAGGTTTTATTCGGCAGTAGCTTGCCGTTAGAGGTGAGTGAATGCGTTGAACAATTTCAGGAACCTTGAGTGCTAGGGTTTGATATCGTGGGTTTCTGACACTGGTGCGGCAGATGGACCTTGGAAGAGATTGGGGCCTCACAACATAATATTCGCAAAGAAAACAGTTGATTCTCAGTTGGTATTCAGCCTTCATTTTAGCTATTTGTGGTGAGTACCGGCACCAGTTCAGGCATGTCATAGACACTTTGTGGTGAGTACCGGCACCAGTTTAGGCATGTCATAGACAGTTTGTGGTGAGTAGCGGCACCAGTTTAGGCATGTCATAGACACTTTGTGGTGACTACCGGCACCAGTTTAGGCATGTAAAAAACACTGTGTGGGAATCGCCATAGCGGTGCGGCTAGACGCCCGCTTGCGGATCAGAAGGTCGTGGGTTCACTCCCTGGCGAAGCAGGACTTTTTTTTTTCAAAAACTGACTTTGACTCCTAGGTCGACACAGCCTTGAGTGGGTACCGGGTGCAGTCCCGGGAAGTATAGGCGACCGGCGTGATGCTGATTACATCACCCATCTTGTGCCTATTGGTCTATAAACTATAGGTCTAGCCCTATATGCCCTATACGCCGAAAGGCGTGGAAAGGGGTCCTTTACACTTTTTTATAGACACTGTGTGGTTAGTACTTGCAAGCTTTAAAAATATATTTTGAAAGCCTACTTGTACCCAGTGATCTGATAGTCATTAACGCTGATATCAAAGTGCTGAAATTTTTAATGTGCTACGGGTGGATGAAATATCAGCATGACAAGACATTGCTTACCCGGCCCTCCAGCTGAGGAAACAGATCCACACACTGCTGCCACATCTGTCTGCCAAGGGCGTCCTTGATCCCTTCATAACGATCCCCACGGTGACGCACCTTTTCGTCCTTCCACTCTTTGAACCACTCCCAGTTGGCGTAGGTGAGCACAACTGCTGCCGATTTCCCTGGCATTCAGAATCAACAGAAGATTATCAGGTTGAGACTACTATCAACAATTACATTGTTGTTGTTTTTCTTTGGGTTCCCTGTCTGGAAACTCCGGCGAAAAGTTCTGGTTATTCCACCACTTCTTGACTTTGGTCTTTTTCCAGGACTTCAGTATTGTGTGCACATCCGTTTTACAGATTGTGTTTCTCTGTTTGCAGACAATTATAGGTTCCTCGTTTCTTAGGCAGAGGCAATCAAACTTCTAATTTAAAAAAAAAAACTATAATTAGAGCCCTTGTAAGGCATGCTTGTTAGGGCACAGTGGGTCTATTCTTGTTTCCCCAGAAAACAGGGCCCACACGGGAAATGTTTGCCTTTTTTGATTTTGTTCAGATATGGGTTCAATAGTGCCCGATCAATCGATGAAAGCCTGTACATACCATTTGTTTTCTTCTTCTTATATGTATCCCTGATTACAGTTTACTCATCTAGCCCTGTCACCAGAGAATGTTGAAATCTGTCGCAGGTCGATGCATCTTCTCTATTCTTTATCTGCAGTTATCTTCTCTTACGTGTTTTAACTCTTTTGTGTCCAAGTAAAAAAGTACTCGGACATGTTCTGGAAGTAAAGACAGTTGGATATTGATTACATCCGTCGGTCTGTGGGGCGAGATGTTCAAACAGCTTGATTCGAGCTTTCAATGCTTGGTGAGATGTTTAAGTTGACCGACTCGAGCTTTCAAGGTTTGGCGAGATGTTCAAGCTGACCGACTCGAGCTTTCAAGGTTTGGCGAGATGTTCAAGCTGACCGACTCGAGCTTTTAACGTTTGATGAGATGTTCAAGCCGCTTGACTGGAGCTTTCAAGGTTTGGTGAGATGTTCAAGCTAACTGACTTGAGCTTTAAAGGCTTGAAGAGAGAGATGTTCAAGCTGACTGACTCGAGCTTTAAAGGCGTGGAGAAATGTTCAAGTTAACTCTAAAGAGGTGAATTTGTTTTCGATCTTTTTCGTTCAGTTTACAAGTAAACAATTTCCTTAGATCGCCGGATATCGTAGCCAGAGCCGCATAGTTCGTGCAGTGTGTTGTGCTCTAAGCCTACTTTCGTTCAAACAGCGTATACAGGCAGGATCACACAGAAAGTAATATTCACTGCAATGATGTTGATCATCTTACTTTCGACGGCATTATCCACCAACTGCCCATTGTTTTGTATAGGTTATATGGCGTCAACACCATATACTTTATGAGTGGAAATTAGAGCTTTACTTCTACTTTACAAAACATTCTATACGCACGTAATCTTCCCCGACTGGCATGAGAGCTTACGTATCTGCATTTCTTTAGATCTCAGCAACATACATCTTTGTTTTTCTTCCTTCACTTATCTAATTTAGATGTTGGGTAGGGAGGGGGAAAGATAGTTATGTGTACACTTTCAAATGCGTTACACAAGCAGATATTCATTTCTTTACGGCTGTTCTAGATTCCCTCCTCAGGTCGTTTCTTCTTCTTGTTCTGTATTCATTATTATTCTCCAGCCTGGCTTCCCGGGGCACTTGATACTAAGTCATTCTCATCATGTGACCAAACCATCTCACCTGTTGCTCGTTAATGAACTGTACGATAGATTTAAGTCGTATACTTCTTCTAATGTTATGATTCTATCTCTTTCTCTTTGACCGGCAGCTATTCAAAGACACACCCTCTCTGTCATATTCGTTGTTTAACGTTCCCATGTTCAATCATTTGTTGTTGTTTTTGTTTTTTGTGTGAAAAGGAATCAGAAAAGTAACGGTCCCGTGGTCGAGCTTTTGTTTTTTATGTGAAAAGGAATCGAAAAAGTAACGGTCATTGATCAACGCTGGTAGCATAATGTTGACGTACAAACATATTCTGCTCTGTATCAAAAGTGGTGTTAGTTATATCTGTGTGCATACATGTACATATGTCATAACATACTTGACACATACCACAAACACGCGCGAGCGCACGCACGCACACACACACAGAGACAAGGATACATTTCACTACAAAAATGTACCAGGAAACTTGACGTCATATTCTGGATCTTTCGCAGACGAGAAGGAAATCAAAGAAAAAGGGATGTCCGTGTGATCAACATCTTCAGCCTTGACATTCAGGTAGTCGGACACTGATTGGTTGATATCTTTTCTGTAGGACAAACGAAGGACATTTTAAAAACGCAAATGCCGGCGCGGAGATGATAAATAGTTACACTAGCATCATATACCAGGCCTCCAGAACTTGAGGGAGAATCAGCGCTTACATATCTTTAATCACCTCTCAAAACAAAAACAAAAATAATAACAATATGAGGGATCTCTTAGCATCAGCACAACAGTGTTTTCCATGGTCAGTCTACAAAGGTTCAGGTGGCTTGGTCACACCTGGAGAATGGAGGATGGCCGAGTCCCTAAGGACATCCTTTGTGGTGAATTAAAGGCAGGAAGAAGATGTCAAAGCCGACCTCTACTACGGTATAAAGATGTGTGCACGCGGGACATGAATAATACAGGTATTAAGGTGGACTCATGGGAACAAAATGCTTTGAACCGTGTTAAGTGGAAAGGGCATATCAGGAAAGGAATGAGAGTGAAGGAAGTAATGGTTGCAGAAAGGATGAGAGCTGACCGTCTGAAAAGAAAGAGGTTAAACACAAATGTTGACAACAATGTTCCAGAAATCCTATGCTATCATTGTGGAAGACCTATTCTTATTGCGGATGGGTCTTGTTCGTCACACTCGCCATCGCCATGGGCTGTGAGTCACATGTCTCCTCATAGCGCAATATAACACTATCGTCTGGAAAGACGGAAAGACGCCAATCTGCATAGCACATTCACAGTCAGTTTATATTTTATACGATTTATATAGTATTTTCTGATAGATAATAGTGCTTATATTTCGCACATCAGTATGCAGGCATTATTTTTAGTGCATTATTTTTGCGATAAGTTTTAAAATAAAAGTTGTTTTAATTAGGTTTTAAAAAATCGGAATCCTGCCACAATGTGGATTTCAACACATGCACACACAGGCCTCAAGCAAAGCTACTGCGGCTCACCGTGGACGAAGCAAGAAGAACATACAGTGGAACCTCGCTTAACGAGCATTATTCGTTCTAGAATCATACTCGTTAAGCGAAACACTCGTTATGCGAAACAATTGTTCTCATATAAATTACTGAAAAATACGATAATGCAATCCATGTTGAGGAAAATACTCACAAAATGCTATGCATAACGATTATTTGAAGAAAATTATATAAACATTGTTAAGGAGAGTGAATCATCTTCATCTTTTCTTCAAACGCGAAACGAACTCACCTGGAATGCGAATTCGATTTGCAGAAAAAAAAGTCGAAATAATTATGATACATAGCCAATTATTTTGTTTACTAGAAAGATGTCCAGAGACATTGGCTTCTGTCGACGCTTTAAAATTTGGCAAACGTGCGACACAGCATTATCATTTAATAAAATTGCAGCGCGCTTAGCCACTTCCTTATAAGAGTGAGGCTTCTCAATGTAAGATGCAACAGTTTCCCATGCTTTCAGCATTTCTCTTATTTTGCCAGAAGACTGTTGCTTTTCTGTTACCTCCTCCTCCTCTGACAAACTTTCCTATAAAAACTTCTTGCTGTGAAACACAATGCAACTCCATAAGCTCTTCGGTGGTCTGCTCTTGGCTGTGCTCTTCCAGCAGCTCTTCGATATCACTGTTATCCACCTACAATCCCATGACAGTGATCAAAGACACAATCTCGTTGACTACAGGTTCCACAGTTACTCTCTCGAACCCCTCAGTCACAAATCGACAACGCTCTCCGGCCAAAGCTTCTTCCAAGCAGCAGTTAGGGTTCTCTTGGTAACCCCTTCCCACGCCTTGTCGATCATCTTGAGGCAGACAACGATGTGGAAGTGATTTTTCCAAAACTCTTTGAGAGTGAGATTGATCCCTTCAGTCATATGAAAACAATGCTCGAAGAGTGCTGTCCTGTAGAGCTTCTTAAAGTGAGAAATAACTTGCTTGTCCATGGGCTGGAGTAACGGGGTGGTGTTGGGAGGCGGAAACTAGATCATGATGAACTTAAATTCTTCGGAGATGTCACCTTGTAGGCCTGGAGGATTCATGCACATATATCACAAAAAACACAAGTGAGAAAATGTGTGATCACAAGCGACACTGCGATGCTACTGGAGTGAGTGCTTAACACAGATGTAACGTGCGCACAATCCGGGACTTCACCTCTTCTCGCCACTCGTTATGCGAAACGTTGCTCGTTAAGCAAGTTATTATTTTTAAAAAAAATTTGTTCGTTATGAGAATTACTCGTTATGAGAGGTGCTCGTTAAGCGAGGATCTACTGTACTTGACAATTAGATGATACATACCCGCCAGAGTAGCCACGATCAGCGGAAATGACGAACTTACCCACTGTACACAAACATGTTGCCTGCAGACAGCTTCAAGTCGCTAGTGCTGCCATCTAGACCTATAAATGCGGACAGGAAAGAATAACTGGGTCCAACGTCACCAATCAATGGGTAGATGCCTGTCGAAAAGTTAGTTTTGACTGTTAAGATGAGTACTTTTAACTTATGAATGACTAAATCAATCAAGAAAGTACATCGCTGCACTCGATTTATTTTTATGCGTGTTCTTTCCCCTTCCTCTATATCACAGGAGGAGTCCCCATACTCTTGTCGTTCACAGCTTTGTGTGGCTAGTATTTATTTCTGGTGATCACTCTGCTCTCTGACAGAGATTAGGTTAGCTAACCAGATATGTGATTTCTCACGGAGATACTCAGTTAAGTGATTTTTGTGTATCATTGATCGTATTGTATATTCATGTCATATGTTAACGGTGCTGCTGTGAGAGGTCGGTGCTGCTGTGAGAGGTCGGTGCTGCTGTGAGAGGACCAAGTTGTGAGAGGACGGTGCTGTGAGAGGACCATGCTGTGAGAGGACGGTGCTGTGAGAGGACGGTGATGTGAGAGGATGGTCTATCTGAGAGGATGGTTCTGCTGTGAGAGGACCGTGCTGTGAGAAGATGGTCTACTCTGAGAGGATGGCTCTGCTGTGAGAGGACAGTGTTGTGAGAGGAGAGTGCTGTGAGAGGACGGTGCAGTGAGAAGATGGTCTACTCTGAGAGGATGGTTCTGCTGTAAGAGGACGGTGCTGTGAGAGGACCGTGCTGTGAGAGGGTGGTCTACTCTGAGAGGATGGTTCTGCTGTGAGAGGACGGTGCTGTGAGATGGTCTACTCTGAGAGGATGTTTCTGCTGTGACAGGACGGTGCTGTTAGAGGATAGTCTACTCTGAGAGGATGTTTCTGCTATGACAGGACGGTGTTGTGAGAAGATAGTCTACTCTGAGAGGATGTTTCTGCTGTGACAGGACGGTGCTGTTAGAGGATAGTCTACTCTGAGAGGATGTTTCTGCTGTGACAGGACGGTGCTGTTAGAGGATAGTCTACTCTGAGAGGATGTTTCTGTTTTGAGAGGACGGTGCTGTGAGAAGATGGTCTACTCTGAGAGGATGGTTCTGCTGTGAAAGGTCGGTGTTGTCGTCAGCCCTGAAAGCATTTTTCATTATAAGAACTCGCAGCAGATTTCTGACAGTTCTTTTGCCAGTTTGTCTTCAGTCTAATCTTACTGTGTTTGTATGATTATCTGACTATTACTTTCTCGGCTATGTTTTTCTCTTCATTATTTACATTGTCGAAAAAATTCTTGATTTACGATTAAAATGAAGTAAAAAAGCTCACAAGATTTCCTGGCTACATTTTCCGGAAGTAACTTCTTGAACGTGTTGGTGACTCCAGCATCAGAGATGATGTGTTTGGCTCGTACCTCCACTTCCTGTCTGCCAACTCGAACGCCTACGGATAAATTTTGGACATATACAGTTGCTAGAACCTGTGTTGTTACACGCATGTAAAACATAGACAATAAGCAAACAAGCTGAAAAGCATTTAGTCATAGCAGAAATGTGGTTCCTGAGAAGAATGCAAAGAATATCATGAAAGGATATAAAATCAAATGAAGCAGTCCTCAAGATAAAGGCTTATAAACTTATTTGAACAATTAGGCGTTAGACAAGTAAAGGTTTTTTTTTTTATTTATTTCAACATGGTATGAGAAGGAAGAGACTTGGTGACACCTGGCAAGACTGAGGGGAAGAGAGCAACAGGAAAGGAAGGAGATAAATATCTGGATGGCAAGGCCATATGGACAGGGCGAGACTAGAACACTGAACTAATCTGTGATTCTGGTGATCGTGTGAGATGGCGAAACTGAACAGTCTATACAAGGCTGTCCTAAACATGAGCCGCTGGGCTCTTCCTGTCAGCTGTAAAACGTGGGCCAAGAGAGGAGGAACTTTGTACCTGGCATAACATGCAATCGCCATGGGTTGTGATTTCTATAACTCTGTATCACAGTAAAACACCGTCGTCTGGAAAAACGGTAAAGTGTCAACATTTTCTAAATGTATAATTTAGTACAATGTTAATATCTTTCATGTTCCAAACGAACCGGGAGGAGAATGGAGACCAAAAACTTACCTACTGCTCTACCAGTTGAATCACACAAGATCTCGGTCACCGGAGCCTGGACGAGAACCTTCCCGCCTCCTTGCTGTATAACCTGGGTCATGTAAAAGGGGATCTCCGAGGCTCCATTGACGGGGTAGAAACCCCCGTGAATGTAGTGCTCTACCAGGATCGCGTGCAGTAAGAACGGTGCATCTTTGGGTAGGACACCTGGTTTAGAATAACTTGCCATATTAGATTATTTGTTAGATTCCATCAATCTGATGAACCCTGTGTAACTGGTAAATCAACTAATGAATCAGCCAATAATCACACGAATGTTTCAAGTATTTAAACATTTGATCAAAGAACAAACCACTACTTACTTAGTCGCTCCTCTTCTACCTTGGGGTGTTGAGGTTTGTCAGAGAGATCGTCAGACTTCTCTATCAGTTTTTGTTTTGTCTGATTTTCACACGTCCTCTGTCAGTCAGGAAATGTTGAATTTTGTCTTCTCGGCGAACCCTGGGTCGTCCTGGGATTTGCTTTTGAGCTAGCCACTGTGGCCGATGCTCTCGCATTCTACATACATATTCAGACCATCTTAACTGACTGATCCACTTGGGCTTGTAAGGCCTGGGTTTCAACATCCTGACATATTGTCTGACTGCGAACTTTGTCCCTTCTTGTAGGACAAAATATTGATAACAAATAATCAATAAATTAACCCATCTATTTTCAACTGATTAGGGAGCCGATGTCCATTATTATACATTCGTTTCGTACTCGATTCCAGTACCTTCAATCCAGAGGCAAACGTGTAGGCGTATTTCAATTCTGCAGCTCCCAACTTTCTCGAAACTGTTTCTAATTTGCTCTTTCATATCCCAAGATTCCTTGCCATACAGGAGAACACTAACTTACTGACTTAGTCGCTCCTCTTTTACCTTGGGGTGAAGAGGTTTGCCAGAGAGATTGCATGACGTCTCTATCAGCAGTTTTCTTTCTGGCGTTGTTCAATTCCAGTCCTCTGTCAGTTAATGACTGTCGGATGTTGTCTTCCCAGCGCACTCTGGGTCGCCCTGGATGTCTGGTTTACTGGTTCTTAGCCTCCCATGCCTGCCATGGTGGTCGAGTTTCTCCCATTCTACATACAGGTCCAAACCATTGTAACTGTGACTAGTCCACTCGGGGTTGCAAGGCCTGGGAATCAAGATCTTAACGTATCGTATTGTCTGATTGCGGACTTTGTCCCTTTTTGTCACTTGGACCACCTTTCTGATATCACATTTCTCAGGCCTGGAGCTGGCTTCTGTGAGCTGGAGGGAAACACATTTTTCGATATTATCTCGAACCCATCAAATATCGCATCGAGCCAAAGTTTTTTTTTTTTTTTTAATTCATAAAGGACCTTGTCTCCCAAGTCGACGCAAACCCAAAATGGGTCCTAAATATTGTCGGCTATCCTTCGAAAAACGGTCGTAAATTATCGAGGCGGAAAATACATCCCGAACAGGGCCTCAGTAACGTGTCAATTGCGCTCTTCCGTCGTCTTAAAATGCGCGCTTACGGCGACTTCCGCCACTGCCGAATAGCGAACTTTCGGCAACTTCCGTCACCGCCGAGAGTGGCAATCTCTTTTGGGGAAAAACTAGATGGCTAAGACTCACGAGCAGCAGCTACCGCATCTCCTACAGCTTCCTTCATTTTATTTGCTCGTGGATCCTAGCCATCTAGTTATATTCGGCGGTGGCGTTATAGTCCCCTGAAGCGCGCAATTGACACGTGACTGAGGAACTGTTAGGGTATATTTTTTGCCTCAATAATTTACGACCGTTATTCGGAGGATAGCCATATTGTCGTGGGAAGTAAAGGTGACCGGTTTAATGTTGACGACATAAGGATTGCCGATTGGTCAACGAAATACAGATCAGTACTATATACCCAGTAAGCCTTAAAGGGACCTTTACATAAAATATCAAGTTCCGAGGGCTCATTGAAAACCTACCTCTAGCACCACACATCCTCAAGCATAGAGACGGGTTGTTTGTTTTAATATGTGTTTAATATTCAATGACAGTGACGAACTGATCACAAACCGTAATCTCCACAGATGTAAGACAGGACCAGCTTGAGCTTTTTGTTGCCTGTGAGTTCATCCAGGACCTGCTGCAGACTTCTGCTGGCGTACCCCTTCCGGTAACACTTGAACACTAGACGGTACAGGCTGGAGTTAATGAGGAAGCGGGCGATACTGGCAGGGATGACTTTTAAGGCAATAAACCCGAAGAATGATTTGTTCGCGTCCTAGGACAGACACACAAGGGTCAAGATGAGAACATCCAGTGCTTCCAGGGCACAATAGCTGTGTGAAGGTCAGACGAAATTATAATAATATTTAACTCGCAGATCTGAAAAAAAATGTGGAGAAAGAGTGTTTGCTCTGTGCAGAGTGGCAATCATTCATCAGCCGTCCTGGGTAGTTGGCTTTCCTTGAATATTGTCTCCTGGACATGCTGGTGTGTTAGGAAATAAATATACAGACTGGCTGGTCACGCACCATCATCAACGTGTAGCAGGTTCTTTGCAGAACTTCACTCTCATTACGGGCCGCCTGAAAGAAACTCTATCTCTAACGAACATCTTACAACAGGGTACAGGACGAGCGGTCGGAACCGGATGGAAGCAGCAAGCCCAGAAATGGCGCAATAATAGAACTTAGTCACGAAAGTCTTCTTCTTCTTCTTCGATCCCTCTGTCAGAAAACCTATATCAGGAGGCCGGTAGCCTTTGTGAAAGCTATCGTGCAATCCATATCCTCTCGTGTACCATACAGTTTTGTCTTAAGTGCGGTTGGAACAGGCCAGATTGCGTCTCTGTTGTCAGCATACAGTTGACAGTGTTGGAGCACTTGCTCAGCATTTTCGGGTACCACGCTGCAGGGACACGTCTCCGTATTTCCTTCACCGAAAAATTTGAACATATGTTGACGAAATCTGTTGTGCCCAGTCCTTAGTCTGAATATAATGCACTGTCCCTCTCTAGAGAGGCAATGAAGTGAGTCTTGTGGAGAACAAATAACCCAGACCACATATATAGGCGGAGACTGTTAGCAGTCTCGGCTAGCTAGCAGCAGTCTGAAAGTGGTCGATCTTTTCATTTTGTCCCAAAAGGACTCGGACTCTTCCGTCTCATGTACTTTCATACTCAAGAAGCTCCTTATATCCTGTGCCCATCTTCGTGTCGGTCGGCCCCTGCCCCTTCTTCCTGGTACCATGCCTTCTGCTATAACTCTTTCCACTCCGTCGTGGCACTTGATATGACCAAAATATTTCAGCTTCCGAGACAGGATGCTGTTTATTAGCCAATCTTCTTTGATGTTTAGATCTTTCAAGATGTCAGTATTTCTCCTCTTCTTTGTCCAAGATATTCTGAGAATATTTCTATAGCATTTCAGCTCAAAAGCCCCTATCCTCTTTCTCAAGGACTGAGAGATAGTCCACGACTCACATCCGTATGTAGCCACAGGGAAGATGCATGCTCTCAAAATTCAAATTTTGATCTCCTTGCTGGTGCTTAACCATAGACTTTTAGAGCCGTTCAATCTTTGCATTGCTATAGCCATCCTCCTTTTAATTTCTGCCACATTCTCCATTGTTATTTATTATAGAACCTAGATATTCAAAATTTGTGCAATTTTCAATTTCTTCATCATTTATTATTATTTTTGGATGGCGGCCAATTTTTTCTATGGACATTTTTTCGTTTTCTTTAAATTCAAGAACAGATTTTCATCTTCACTGTGGTATTGGACAGACAACGTTAAATTTTCTATTCCCTTTATGCTAGAGTTCCGGGATAGGGTTGCCACCAATTTTGAGCGGATCATAACTATCACAAGCTTGGTCATTTTTGACATTTCTCATTGATTACTACGCCACCTGTAAAAGAACCAGTGTCGACGTACGCCAGATCTAACTGTATCTTCTTCTTCTTCTTCTTCACTTCCTCTTTTACCGCTGTGGGTGTCGAGAGAGATATAAGGTTCTGTTTCTAGCTCTTCTGGCTGCCTCGACCATAGGCACATCGTGCTGTTGTAGAGTTTTTTTATGTTATCCTTCCATCTTGTTCTTGGTCTACCCCGTGCTCTAACTGTATACACCAATTTAAATGCACCTGTAACGCTGCATATGTGGGCAGAACTGATCAACGACTTGAGAAACGGGTTGCTGAACATATTCCACTATTGGTGGTAAAAGCAATGCAAAACACTAACACCTCAACAACAACGAATCAGGTGACTGGTCGACAAAATCCATCATCAGCAATTGGGTGCCATATTATAAATTCAGGGCACATCATTAACAGGGATGATGCATTCCGAATTATTTACAATTCGGTCAACCGTAGATTACTCAGATACGCAGAAGCCTCCGCGATCAGCCGGTTGAAACCAGATCTCTGTAGGCAGAAAGAAATGGTCGTTTCCTTAAGGTTACCTTGGTGAAACAGACGGGGTAGAATGTACTCGAATTTGTGATTCAGTTTCTAGGATTCAGCTATTTGCTTCATTTTAATTAATTGTTACTGTAGTATGCACCTGACGAGATGCAGCGAAATATGCCAGGCAATAAATTGTGCAGTCTATTGTTTGTGTCTTCTTTGTTCAAATTCACATCGGGGAAACTTTGCTTTGATTTCTCATTATATTTTTTGCGTATATATTGAATAGGTATAGTGAGAGAATGCACCCCTGCCTAAACCCTTTTTGCACCTCGAACCAGTCAAATGTTTCACCAGCTGCTCTGATGGCTGCTTGTTGTTCATGATAAAGATTTTCAATTAAATACACTAAATGCGCTAAAATCCCCATACTTCTCATAATAGTCCACAGTTTCTGATGTTGGAAACAATCAAATGCCTTGCCAGTTGGTGGTAAATTGTTGCACAAGTTAGATGTTGTAAGAGCCCTTGTAGAGCGAGTAGACAATGCAGAACAACAAGCTGTGAAGAAACTGGTGCAGGTTAAACTAATATACGGTAAGACTGTTACTGTATCACCAACACTGAAACACTTCGCTTGCTGCTGAAGATGGGGACAGGGCACTTGTGAGAATGTCCTGAGTGTTTTAGCATTGGTTTCAACTCATAACTCTAAAAGATGAACCACCGAGGATGTTAACTAAATAAATACAAACAGGCATTATTTTGTGTCTGCTTTGTAGAGGAAATTAAACGGTATGATAGAATCAGTAATGTTGAATAACTGTATTTTAACAATATTATAACTATATAACTATACTGTTTAAAAAAATTAACGCAAAGTTATCCGATGGCGCTTTTTTTATTAGTCGACAGGAAAGCCTTACGCCTAAAAACTATTGATGACCCAGATGCTAAAATAGGTCAATTAATTTGTTAAAATCTTCTGTTTGAACAATTTCACTTATATTTAAAAATTCAAAATTATGACAAAATTATATTCCTTTCAGTAGCTAGCTATGTCATAGTGGGGCGCCATCTGGTAACTGTGCATTTATTTCTCTGTCTCAATTTTTGTTTCTTTTGTTTGCTTTTAAGAGTATATTTTTTATGGATTACTATACCTTCATGAGTTTCTCGTATGCCTGAAGGACCTCTTGCTCCTGGGGAAACATACGGCGCAGGTTCTGATAGTAAGCAGCTGCTCCTGTTTTCATAGGGAAAAGTTTCACTTCACCCGGTGTTCCCACAGCCACCTGTGTATTGTCACACATAAATGTTCCTTCAGTAAGTAATGGTAAGTGAAGGACCTTTTTCTTACGGCTTTAGGCGTAATAGGCACATAAGGCTAGGCCTATATTTTAGAGACCAGTGGTGGATGATGTGATCAGCGTCTTTACTTTCCAGGACTCGTCCCTAGTATCCAGTTATGGCTGGGTCGATTTGGGAGTCAAGGTCATTTTTGATCAACAACAACAATTCTGGTTTCCAGGAGCTACAATACTGTAGCTTCTCTTCCTTCAGTACTTGCAACAGAATATGCGATAGTTTTTAGCCTAAACATAATTCCCCCACCTTCCTCTTCTCTCCCCCCCCCCAAGCTCTATCCTCTCTCTCTCTCTCTCTCTCTCTCTCTCTCTCCCCCTCTCTCTCTCTCTCTCTCTCTCTCTCTCTCTCTCTCTCTCTCTCTCTCTCTCTCTCTCTCTCTCTCTCCATAGATAAGAGGTGTTTAAATGTATCTATTTTATTCTGTCCGGGACCTGAACCAACTCCCTCCCCTTTTATCCCCCCACCACCTCCACTAATTTGAGCTTTAAGCTAATAACTGACATTATAGCACACGGGACATTCCCAACAGCGCCCCATCCTCACCTGCAGCAGCCATGGAAGACTTATGATTCTGATAGTGCCATTAGTAATTATACAAGGTCCGTCAATTAAGTAATGAGACTGATTTTATTATGGCCAAGATAAAAATGTCATCTTTGAAGCAAAGCATAAAGTCTAAAGAGGCAACATTCATCTATGATCTAGCAGCTTTTCATCGCCACTCGATAAACAGACAACAAACAAGCCGCCATTTTGTTGACCTAGTCAAAGTTGCATTGTTACGTAATCAGCACGGAGTAAGAAGCGCACATTAAATTCTTTTTAAAACTAAGAAAATGCGCCATTGAAACAATTGAATTGATGCAGCAAGTTTATCGGGATAATTGTTTATCTCGCGCAAACATTTTCAGGTGGTATTCACGATTCAAAATTAGTGTGGAAATTATTACTAATGCACCTAGACCTGGGCGCCAAATTTATGTTCGTAATGAGGAACTCTTTGCAAAAGTCAAAGAACGGATACAAGAAGATCACTGTTTTACTGTGAAGATGATGACAGATAAATCTGGTGGTAATAGAGAGATGATTCATAACATTTTACCGCAAGGTTTTGGCAAGAAAAAAAAGCTGCTTGCCGGTTTGTACCACATTCTTTGTCTGATGACCAAAAACATCAGCGGGTCTAGTACACAAGAGATATCATCAAAATAGGAATTGTAGGCCTAAAAACAGCTGTGTGTTCTCAGTCTTTTATCCTGTTCCCCAGATTTGTCTCCTTGTGATTATTTTCTATTCCCAAAACTAAAGTTACAATTGAAATGTCGCGTCTTTAACGATATGATATCATCCAAAGGGCCGTAACATCGACTTTAAGGGCCATAACAACAGATGAACAACAGTGGTCGTTCCAGTGTTTGTTAGATGGTGCTACTCACTGTATCAATGCACAAGGGGTTTACTTTGAACAAAATGCAGGTTACATCTTTAACTGTTGATTATTTTAATTTGTATGGAATTAGTCTCATTACTTAATTGTCGGACCGTGTATGTCCGTCTTGTTTTTCTTCTTTGTTCACCTTTTGTAACCCCTGGCGGAAAGTCGTGTTTGTTCGTCCGTCGTCTGACTGTGTGCCTTATTATGGTTATATTCAATTTCGTCCTTTTTAGGATGAAATTTTTTGTCATTTGAAGCCCTACTCTGGCTTTTGCCAGGGGCCGCAATATAGGCAGGCCATATATATGGCCAAATGTCTGAACGCGGTTTCTGGGACCTCTCCACGGCGATCCTCATCCACATGGTGGCACTTTTTGTCATCGGGTGTTTATCGCTTGTGTGATGTCCTGGTGGGGTAGAAATTCAGTTCATTTCAGTCTGACTGTGTGTCTTTTTTAATACTTTCTGACCTTTGACCGAGATTTCAAAAAAGCAGCATCATGGCTGACAACCCAACTAAACCAGACCTGGCACCTCTCGAAGAAGATGACGAATTTGAAGAGTTTCCTGCCAAAGACTGGATAGGTGAAGACGAGGCACCTGAAGACATTAATGTGTGGGAGGATAACTAGGACGATGATAACATAGATGATGACTTCTCTAAACAGCTTCGAGCCGAGCTGGAGAAACAGCGCAAGAATCTGGATGCCTCCGAGCCAATGAAACATGATGTGCCAGATTGCACGTTAAGCATTTGTATCATTTTCATTATTGACTTCAATAAATTGTTTTTAACTTTAAAAAAAAAAAAAAAAAGGCTGACCATTGACCCCAACACTTCAACTGTAGTCTCCACATACCGTGTCATAGGCGTCGTCCATGTTGGCCCATCTCAACTGCCCACAGGTCAGCTGGTCTAGGAGAACACGAGCGATGGAGCCTTCTTGTACGTCGCCGACATAGTGGATCCCTGCCAACAGAGAATTTAACATCTGGTCTCAATCTAGAACAGAGACCTGGACATTCAGCAAACAAGCAGTGCAGTATTTCACAACGGCGGGAAGGGGTTTCTGATGGAGCCATAGGCTCTGGAACCTGGGGTGGGAGCTCAAGTCCCTAGAATCCCCATTTTTAAAAAAAATTAAGTGGTGGTTGCGGTGGGAAGGGCGGGATAAACCCACAAACATTTTTAGAAGGATTGAGTCACCCATCCTAACCCCATTGCTCTCCATTACCATGTGTACATGTTTTTTTTTTTTTTAAAGAATTTGCTTCTATACGTCGGCTCTGTGGCTAAGTCGATGCGAACGCTTCGTAATGCCGGGAGGCCGGGTTCGATCCCAGCTGCGGGACAAGCGCCTTGCGTTGGTTTCGACTGTGGTATCAAGAAAGACGACTGTCCAGAAAGCAATGGCAAACTACTTGACGTAAAATTTGCCTAGAAAAACCACACAACAACCAGGGGTTGTTGAAGTTGATTCTGCAACGTCCTGTAAAGCTTCTATACATGTATACCAACAAACACACGGAGATGGCAGCTATAGAGTCAAGACAGAAAGGTTGGGAGGACAAGGGAAGAGCTGCAGGCGATAGATAAGGATAGAATGACTTAGTGTCAGTTAGTTGAGGGCCTATGCTCCACTGGGGATTAGAAAGGAAGAAGAAGAATAAGAGCAGACACACACACACACATACACATACACAAACATAATCACCACACAAAGGGAAGTCATTTAGTAATGGCAACTAAATCCTAGTCTGCATGGAACAGTATACGGAAGGCTCTGCGGTTTAAAGTAATGAACACATCCGGCATTCAGCCCAGTCACAACCGGTTCCAGCTGACGGGCCGTGCTGTTGACGTCACCAGATCGGGCTAATGATGTGTTAATGCGGCCGTTCTCAGACAAAAAATAAACTGTTTTTGACAGCGGTAGGGGTAACTTCAAAGTATCTACATGCCTTCTTTAATAATTTCACAGTTTTTTGACGACTTTTCTTGATTATTGTCGCAGCACCCCTGGTATATGCTCACGTCACCCCAAGGTGCCCCGGCACCCAGTTTCAGAACCACTGCGCTAACGCATTGTTAGTCCGACCCGATGACGTCAGCAGCACGTCCCGCTAGCTGGAATTAGTCGTGGTCCAGATTTGGGACCAACGGACTTTCATTTGTTTGGCCCATTGAAAGAACCTTTGAGGGGTCAGAGATTAAGGGATGACAATGAGGTGATGTAGGTGATGCAGACTTGGTTACTGGTCGCACCCAGAAGCTTTTACCTGGCGGGCATGCACAATCCTGTGGATCGGTGGACTGCATGTGTTGCCAAGCAGGGAGACTGTCCAGAAATTGGACACGGAAGAATTATAATCCGTCAGCTCGTAAAGAAACTTAATAATGCAAATTCTTTTACCTAATGACTTCCTCTTGTGTGTGTGTGTGTGCGCGCGCGCGCGCGCGTGTGTGTGTGTGTAATTGATGATGATGACAGATTATTTGGCACCTTTCCGTCTTTCCAGAAGATAGTGTTATAGTGCGCTTTGAATCATAACCTTTAAAAAAAAAACGCAATGTACCAACCACTTTTCGAAGAGCGAACATAAAAAGAAAAATTTAAAAAAAACAAGACGACATATCATATTCGCTGCGAGCTAAAGGACTTTTCGACCTTCAGAAAACTGGTTGTTAAGTTTTGACCCAAGCGGGACAATGTCCACATAAGTTTTGATATGATTTGGTTGATTCATTTCGATTGGAAAGCAGAAAGAAGAAGTTGTAACGGTTTAAAAAAATATTCATTAAATCAAGCATCAGTACATACCGGTATCGAACTCGAAACCCTTCTCCACAAAAGTATGACAACATCCACCAGCCTGGTCGTGCTGCTCCAGGACCAGGACTTTCAGGCCAGCAAACGTCAGCAGGACTCCCGCCGAAAGTCCTCCAGCCCCGCTACCAATGATGATAACGTCCAGGTTGTCTGGCACTTTCGTGGGTTTGAATCCTGAAGTTATAAAGCAATGTTGGTATTAAATAAATCCAGCCTTTCTCGTAGTAATTAACAACGGTTGTTTTGGGCGACAGATTGTGAAAGTATTAAAAATATTGCATGGGTGAAAGTTTGTAAAAGTTTAAAAACTATTTCAAAAGAAAACGTGGTTGAAAAATTAAACAAATTTTGCCCATGGAAACGCTTCTGAAAGTATTTGTATACAGATGACGAATACATATTGCTGTTAGTTACGTATCCTTTATATTACATTGCATAGAAACACACATGATAAACAACTGACACATATACGCTAAAATGTCATTACAACGAGTTAAACCAAAGCCAACTCTCCTCATCCATACTCTAGTCATACATACTCTCCTCATACATACTCTCTTCATACATACTCTATTCATACATACTCTCCTCATACATACTCTCCTCATACATACTCTATTCATACATACTCTCCTCATACATATTCTCTTCATACATACTCTCCTCATACATACTCTCTTCATACATACTCTCCGCATACATACTCTCTTCATACATACTCTCCTCATACATACTCTCTTCATACATACTCTATTCATACATACTCTCCTCATACATACTCTATTCATACATACTCTCCGCATACATACTCTCCGCATACATACTCTCTTCGAGTACAACATCTCAGAGTTTGGTGTCATTAGCAAACGGTTCTACTGACTCTCCTTGAGTACAACATCCCGGAGTTTAGTGTCATGAACAAACGGTTCTACTCACTCTCCTTGAGTACAACATCCCAGAGTTTGGTGTCATGAACAAACGGTTCTACTTACTCTCCTTGAGTACAATATCCCGGAGTTTGGTGTCATGAACAAACGGTTCTACTTACTCTCCTTGAGAACAACATCCCGGAGTTTAGTGTCATGAACAAACGGTTCTACTCACTCTCCTTAAGTACAACATCCCGGAGTTTGGTGTCATGAACAAACGGTTCTACTTACTCTCCTTGAGTACAACATCCCAGAGTTTGGTGTCATGAACAAACGGTTCTACTTACTCTCATCGAATACAACATTTCGGAGTTTGGTGTCATGAACAAACGGTCCTACTTACTCTCCTTGAGTACAATATCTCGGAGTTTGGTGTCATGAACAATCGGTTTCGGTGCTCTTCTGTGGTCATACTGTAGAGGGTTTCTACCTTTCTGTCCGCCAGAGAAAAATGAATATATGGTAGCCACACAAACCAGCAGCAGTACAGCAGCAATCAGCAGTGATTGATTGTTAGCAGCAAGATTGATGACTGTAGCAGATACAGTACTGACAGCCATGGTGGTGGATATACGATAGAGAGCTCAGTTTATCAGCAAAGGCTCATACCGAATCTCCAAATATATCCCATATAATAAAACATTCTTGTGGTATCACAATGCATATTATAAATAAACAGCCTAGCACGAGGGTGCTGGAACCTGAGGGCAGAGACACAAGAAAGAAATTAGGACTCGCCGCTCAGCCCCTGTACCCCTCTGTAGGTGGTGGTGGTGGTGGTGGTGGTGCTGGTGGGGGCGGAGAGCCTTAGCTACCACCTCTTCCTACCAACTAATCCCTCATTATCATCATCATCATCATCATCATCATCATCATCATCATCATCATCATCATCATCATCTTAGGCCAGGCTTAAGTCTTTTAAGGCTCCCTATAAAATTTTCAAAGTGACTAAATCCCCCCCCCCCTTCCCACCCATCCCCTCCTCCCAAGGTTTTCTGTCTGCTGGCGTGCCTGGTATTTTGTCACATGATGCATCAGACGTGTCACAGAGCAGTAGAATAAGAAATAAAAGCCGTCCAGGTTATCACAATAGTGGCGATACTGTCAAAGATAGGCAGAACAAATAAATATAAAATCTAGGTTGACATCGGTGAAGTTGATTTAAACTTAGCAGCAAAAACAAGATTAAAAGAAGAATGGACCTTATGTAGACTGAAACAAGATGAACAGAAGAATAGACCTTATGTAGACTGAAACAAGATGAACAGAAGAATGGACCTTATGTAGACTGAAACACGATGAACAGAAGAATGGACCTCATGTAGACGGGAAAAAATGCAAAAGTAAATTACCTTTTTCCACCCCTTTATGTGTATTGGGAATATATAGGACCTATATTGTTATAGACTAATCGGCACTTGGTGGGTGATGTGGTCAGCACCACGCAGGCCGCCTTTACTTTCTAGGACTGCACCTCGTACCCACTCAAGGCCTGGTCGATCTGGGAGTCAAGGTCATTTTTTTTTTTTTTGAAAAAAAAAGGTAGGCTTCTTCAGGAAGCGACCTTCAGATTAGCGACTCCCAGACTGAAAGGTTGTATGTGTTCATTTTTAAAGTTAGTGTGCGCAACTTTTGACGTTGCAAAACCAACCCTTGCTTTTATGGTGTACTTGGTATTCCCAGCCAACCCCCCCCCCCCCCTTTTTTTTTGCCCACCGCCACTGTTTCTAAAGCTTTCTTTATGACGGCGCCCATGTAAAGAGAGTCAAAAATCTGTGTTCACTGACAACTCACGTGTACGTTTATACAGTGATGACCTCTGAGGTCTGTCTGTTAGTGGATGTCTTAGATCGACACGGCCTGACACACGCTCTGGCATAAGACCTTAAATAACACACAAAGAAGGAGACTTCACGCTTCGATGATTATTCGCACGGATGGCGCTGGTCACGTATTTGTACAAATCAGCATCCACTCCGTGTATGATAAGGTCAGTGTCATGCCGACCGCCTTTATTTCCCATGACAATACATTTTAGAATGAGTTTAACTTCTAGTTTTCAAGACTGTAGAGTGTCGGCTCGTTAAGGGGGTTTGGGGGAGGGAATAGAGATTAAAATGTGTGCCCTCAAAGAAATAAAACAAGGATAGAGATTCGATGGTCGACTCTTTCAGGAGAAATTGATGGATTTTAAGATTAGAGAACTGCCACATATAGAAGCAAAAGAAAATAGAGACTAGAGAACTGGCACTAGAAGCGTAAGGAATTAGAGATTATAGAACTGGCACATATAGAAGGGTAAGGAAATAGAAATTAGAGAACTGGCACTCATAGAAGCGTAAGAAATATAGATTAGAGAGGCAGAACATTGCTGATATAGACAGCATAAAGTCGGAAGGAAATGATTATACGAGTAGAATATGTAATAAAATAGCAAAACTCTTCTTCGAAATCGCACTCAAAACTTTATATTGATATTAAAACCCTGAGGGTTCTTCTTCTCTACATTCACCTCTATAAGCCCCGGCAGAAAGTTTTGGTTGTTCGTCCACTTCTGAACTTTAGCCTTGTCCCGGAACCTGGGTGTTGCGTGCACATTCGTTTTTTTTTACAGATCTGGCTTATTTGTATGCCTCTCAGGCAGATGTACTCCGGCTTCGAAGGATGACCCTGAAATTGTTTTTTTTTCCGATGACATGCTTGTTGGGGAGGCAGTGGATTTGTTCTTGTTTTTCCCCACAATTGGGTCCCAGAACCCAGTCGTGGATCCCGAGGGTTAAACATGATATTTTAATGGTGGAAATATCTTCTTCTTTCTATCCCCCAGTGAAGCATAGAGCATCAACAAACTCACGCCAGGTCGTTCCATCTTTCGCTTTTGCCATCATTTCTATAGCCCTGTGGGTTTCATAAAAAGACATTCTAGTTATACTGTTCTTGTGTTTTTTCAACGTGTATCCTTTACAACCCCAGCGTGTTTTCTTTACAGAAAGTTAACTATTGCTCACATTATTGCGACCTCTGACCCGGAAGTGGCCGGCACAGTTGCAGACATGAAGGTGGAGAGGGACGATATGAAAGTCGCCGGAAGACAGACAACCTAAACTTGGTCCACACCTCGTCCTGGCCGGCTTCTCTCTGCAAACATGGACCTGCCCCAACCTAGGGCATGACTGCTGGCTTATCGTGAGTATCCTCAACCCTCTGGTTGTCAGGGTTTGCTTGTTTTGTGTCCCGTATTTGGGTACAACGGTAAATGATAAATCATTCTCTCCTCATTAGCACCGACTGTGACTGTCAAGCATGGACGTAGTGTTTGTAATTAATTTGTTTAACAAATGAATTAATGAGCGCCTTTTCCCTTTAGTTTTAGTTAATTTTTAACTTATGAAAGTTATGTCTTTTGCCAAAAGTTTTGGTACAGTGGTACAGAAACTTGGACAAGTGAAGAGGCATCTAGAAAATCGAATCGAATTAACTTTCTTGAAGTGTGGATATCCGATATACAGAATAATAATATCATGTAAGACAAAAATATCAAATACATTTCTGGGAAGACTGGGAATGAACAGAATGTAAAAAAAAAAATAGACAGTTGAAATATGTGGGCCACATTAACTCTTTGAGTCCCAGGGGGTTTTGCATCAGATGCCCGGGGGGGGGGGGGGGGGGGGGATATGATTTTGACTTTTAACAAATGCAGCACTTTAAAACAAACCACACAACTGCAGCTGATGTCCAAAATACACATATCATACATACAATTAAACATAAATGGATAAGGATTAATATTAGCATACTGCTACAACAAACAATTATACTGTTAGTTAGTATTTAGTAGAGAAAACTGACTTAGTTTGAGAGGTGAGCAAATTATGAACAAGTTTTTTCCACTTACCCAGAAGCTGATCCAAAAATTCTTGATATAGTATATCCAAAATGCACCACAAAGGAAGGTACACCACTTATAAGTATGCACAGCCAATATTAAAGCAAAATGTGCAATAGTTGTTGTTCCATAGCAATTTGAATAACACTACCATAACATGTCAAAATATATTCTCCAGTGGCACAAACAGTGACTTTTCTAAAAACAATTGAATTCCTCAAATAGAAAAAACTGTAAAGGCACTGTAAACATATCAACCTGTTCATAGATACATATCTATGGTGTTAGATTATATGGATAGTAGTACTAGAAGCGCTGACATTTGGACTAGCTGGTTTCGCGTTACGAGCTGCTTCTCTTGTGTTGCCATGGCAGAATTAGTCAGTTTTGTCCTTTTAGCAGGAGGTAAATTACACATACATCCTCATCAAAACTTGACTTGTCAACGGTTTGGGGAAATTTCACGTCGCTGCTATCATTATCCAACTCCACATTACTTTAATCGATCCACTGTTTTATCAAATTTGATGATTCTAAAGCAGTAAATCGCTGATGGGCGTGAAGACGATGACTGATCGGACATATTGTTTTCAGACAATTGTTTATAAACGTAGTAGACCACACAAATATCGATTTAAAGCGTTACAAACTCACCAGACCCAAACGAATGCACTCCATGTGTGTTCACTACACACTTGAGAACCGGAAAGGAAGTTTAAATTGAGCGGTTCGCGTGTAATTGCTGATAAGTGGTAAATTAAAAACCGTCACACGTCATGCGCTGTTTGGGCCGTTAGGTAGTAACAAATTAGCGCGTGACACGTTCCTTGGGACTCAAAGAGTTAAAGGCATAACACTCTTCTAAAACCATACTGGAGGGAAAAAGAGCAAGATGTAGACAATGAAACAAGTGGGAGGACAACATCAGAAGATGGTCAATCATGGTCCAAAAGCAGTCTGAGGGAGTGTACAACCACAACAAGAGAAAGAGGGTGTTGAGAATCCCTTGCAGCCAGCTTTCAGTGTGAAGATGGCACCTGATTGGTGGATTATGTACTTAATGTATCACCTATTGTCATAGTCAGTCGCTATCAGGTATAAGTCAGTCAGGTGCTGTCTTCACAGTCAAGTTAATCAATGCTGGATGCATTAAATCTCCACCACTCTTGGTTTCTCTTCATTACATTAATAATTCATTATTTAGTCTGTCATGCCACCATTTATCCATCTTTTCATGTTATCCTCCCACTTGTTTTGCTGTCTACATCTTGTTCACATGCCTTCTTCTTTCCTTCATTATTTTTTCATTGGAACTCTCAAGACAAAAGAGACTAACAGTCTAATAAGACATGGGATTTATGAGATCATTTCCCCCCCCCCCCCCCTCCTCCATAATCAGTCTTTCTGTCTGTTCTGATACATTGTCCATTTGATCACAGATCTTTACTATGTCTGCTTTATCAGTAGCTTAAAGTAGCTCACTGTCCAGAGGAGTGGCAACAGCTAGTCTTTCAACCTGCTCCTTACTCTGCACATCCAAATATCCTGGAAAAAATCCATAATACGCTCGCGGTTTGAGTTTTATCAAGTGATGCAAGCCACTTTGTACGTAGGGTGCCAGTTTCAAATTTCCAAAGCATAATCTACAACATCTCGGGCTGTGCTGCT